CCCCCATGTTTTACCAATATATTGTTTGTTTATTTGCAATTGCATTGACCGGTCATCTAATCCCCGCGAGCTTTCTTTCCATCATGACCACAACTTCAATAACCTTTTGTACCTATATATATATATATGTATGTATAATGTATGTATATGGCATGGCTCGATATAGATACATACATTTGTTAGCCAATACCACTGAGATTACGGTCATATTTATTTAAAATAAATCATCTTAAACCAATGATAATTAATCAATATTAATTCAACGTGTATGATTCCAATAAAACCCAATTCATAATTTTATGCACATGATTGGTCCCATTAATTAGATATACACGGGGGTAGAATCCGATGATTTGGTGTGTTTCCATGGAATCCAAAGGGTTATATCTATGCATAGAAAATGGAGGATGTATCACAACGGGAAGTCTAAAAGTTTTTTTTTTATTTTTATAAGCGATGATTATGAAATTCGAAGGGAATGGGGCGTTGCGTAATCCAAAATGTTTTCTTTAATTTATTGGTTACAACAACATTGATTATATTTTGTCTCATTTAATAAAAATTCGTAACTCTTCCTTAGCTTTTTTTTTGGTCGGGTCTTGAGAAATTTTAAATCACGGGTCTGCGTCAAATTCATGGCTTTTGAGTCATAATAACAAGACGTTGGATTATACACCAATATATATAGTAGAGAGAGAGGCATAAGTCTCAGACTTATAGATTTATAAAGAATAATGTAATTTGACCGTACGTACAATAAGATGTGTAATGTTGGTGGGATGGTTTTCAAGCATGCATGATAATTAGAAAAATGGTTACATGACATGTAAATATGCGAAAAGCATAGGGATGCTTCATATGTGGAAATTAAAATTGATAAATAGAAAAGCGAAGACAAAAAAAGGGGGAGAGAGATTTGGGAGACAAAAAGGGTTGTGAATCACTTCGTTGGACCGACGACTTTAAGAAATCGCTTCGTTGCCTTGGGGGTGCCTTGCTTCGAGATTGCGCCATCTTTTCTTGTCCCCTCTCTCTCTCTCTCTCTCTCTCTCTCTCATGATTAAACATAGATAATATATGATGTGTTTTTTTATATAGGGATTGATTATATATAATTGCATTACGTATAACATATATATATATAAGTGTTATGTGTTTTTTTTTTATAATTTGAAAATTTATCTTACTTTTGATCCAACCAAATCTCTAAGAGTAACGGAAAAGTCGGATAAATACTTCTTTTTTTACGTTTATATTTTAATCCGGATAAAAGCAAAGAAAGTGTTATGTTATGTTGATCATGGGAGTTAAATTATTATTTTTTTAATTATTGACTGGTTATTATAAAACCATACAAATCTCAAACATGGATTATATATATATATATATATATATATATATACACACATTCTACTTACGTACTTGCTAATTTTTAGGGTTTCAGTGAGTAAAATTACATTGGTGACTTGAATAGAGGAATATGACAAGGCATGGAAAGACGACAATAACCCTTTTTTTTATAAAAAAAAAAATGCATTGGTAAAAGAGAAAGGCTAAAGGGACTCCGAACACATTTATTTTTCCTTGGAACAAAGACCTCCCGTATTGTATATATATACACACACACACACATAACATAAATACGCAAAATATTTCGATAACTAAGCAACAAGAAATGGTATACCAACGACCTTATAACCATATTATTATATATATTATATAGTTGAAAGAAGTAGTTGAACAAGTTTTGATATATATATATATATATATATGTACATACACATACCCATTTGTATAGTAAAACGTGATTTTCGTTAGTTAGATTTTGAATTGAGCTTATGTTTAAGGAATTATGATGGTCGCAATATTAAATGTACCCGTTTGTACATCTTGGTTCACATGAATAAATCATTGTTAGGGGCGGTATGGAACCATATTCATTATATACATATATATATGTGTGTGTGTGTGTGAGGAGGAAAACTTAGGGTGTTGATAATTAATGTCATAATATATATATATATATATATATATATATATATATATAATTGACATGTGATATAGTATAAGATATTTTCCATATATAGATTAGAATAAAAGGATGTCATGAGTGGATTGTTCTAACGAAAGATTCAAGGCAGACTGAAAAATGGCAGAGACGAAGAAGATTTACAAACCCTAATTAATTATGTGAAACTGATTACCCAATGAAACAAGGAAACAACTTGTGGTTCATTGGAAAGGAATAAATAATTAATAATAAATAATAAATAAATAAATAAAAAAAGACGAAGAAAGCAAAGAGACAACACATGCAAGCACGTGATGAGTGCATGTCCCTCACGCCATGCACATCTCATCATCGTTTTCCCTCTCTCTCTCTCTTTTCCTTTTTCCTCAACAATTATAAACAAATTCGTAAGAAATTCAATTTCGTGGATGGGCTGATTAGTTAAAGCCCATTCAGTGATAGCCAGAAATATTTATTGGGCCGAACAGGCCCATATGATTTTATGTAGGCCCATATTATTAACATATGGGCCGAAAAGGCCCATATTTATTAATCGCCAAGAGAATCTAAAATCTGGAAATTATCAGGAGAGGCAATAAAAAAAAATATATGTGGCTGTGTGGGATCAGAGACCGGCGCGTGCCTTATCTGCTTCTCTCTCAGTGGTCGTTATAGCTCTGCGAGCATCACTTCTCCTCCTCTTCCATATCATCAGAGCTCCAATTCAACCCAGAAGCTCCGATTCGGATTCTACTTCTCATCCATGGCGTCCTCATCTCTCTCCCCCGCTACTCAGGTTCATCGATCGCTCTTCCTGTTCGTGGGTTTAGCTCCAGTTCTTTCTTCTGATGAAGCAGTCTCAAATTCGTTCTCAATCGATCATTTATCTCCGTATATTTGTTGATATTCGTTGAATTTGGCGGATTTGGTGACCGGGTTTTTCGTGAAATTGCAGCTGGGTTCGACCAGATGTGGCATGATGGCGCCATCGCGTGCCTTGTTGGTTAAGCCGACCAGGACGCAGATGACTAGGAGGGAGAAGGGTTTGAGAATTACTTGTCAGGCGACAAGCATTCCGGCCGACAGGGTTCCGGACATGGGGAAGAGACAACTCATGAATCTGCTCCTGTTGGGTGCTATTTCCCTGCCGTCTGGTTTCATGCTTGTCCCTTACGCCACCTTCTTTGCCCCTCCTGGGTCAGTTCCCTGTCACCCCTTGACTGAATTCCGCGTTTTTTTTTATTGAAGATATTTGGTGAATCTTGGATCTAAATTCCCATTACTCTGATCTCTATTGTATCACTGGGTTTTCTCCGTATATATATCTGTTAATCCATGGTAGTGTTCATTGCCCCTTTTTGGTAGTTTCATTGAGGAAATGGAGTTTCTATTTCTGTCAAGTATCACGATGAAGTGGTTGAAAAAGTATTTTGAGACTTGTTCATAGCAGAGTTCTCGTTTCATATTTCAGATCAATAACACAACTATGGCCTTTATTCGCTGGCCATTGGTGCGTAAATTTACTGATTATTTCTGTGATATGACTTTGGTCGGTGACTTGGAATGCAGTGGCCGAGGTGCCGGTGGTGGCACTGTTGCAAAGGATGCACTCGGAAATGATATAGTTGCAGCCGAATGGATCAAGACCCATGGCGCTGGTGACCGAACCTTGACCCAAGGACTAAAGGTAAACTTGATATGGTTCCAAAATGTTGCTATCAGATGAGATTGTTGATTCACATGTAGTTTATGACAAATGGAGAATCTGAAAGTTTGACCACTCACTGTTTGTTTGGTATGAATATGCAGGGAGACCCGACCTACCTGGTTGTGGAGAACGACAAAACTCTCGCGACATACGGTATCAATGCAGTATGCACTCACCTCGGGTGTGTTGTCCCGTGGAACAAAGCCGAGAACAAATTCATCTGTCCTTGCCATGGATCTCAGTACAACAATCAGGGCAGAGTGGTTAGAGGTCCTGCCCCACTGGTAAGAGCCACCACACATTTAACTCTCTTGAAACACTCCAACCCATGTCAGAACACATCAAAACTGACAGTAATTTATCGGGTATACGAAAATGGAATTGATCTTTATACGGTCTGTGGAACAGTCTCTGGCATTGGCACATGCGGATATCGACGATGGGAAGGTGGTGTTCGTTCCGTGGGTTGAAACCGACTTCAGGACCGGTGAAGCTCCATGGTGGTCTTGAACCGGGGAGCCTCTCCTTAGCTCATCCTTGTAGAAAGAAAGTTGTGTCTGTTTCTCTACCACTTGTTCAATGTTTTTTCCCTCTTGTGAGCTTGTAATCATCACCCTCTCTTGGCAATACTCAAAGATTTCTTCCCCGTATAGTATTTATGTTCATTCACTTTCCCAACGTCTTTGTGCAGCAGAAGAACTGAATGTGTAAGTAATGGTGATATTGTTGTTTAGTACAATTCTCGTTATCAAATACCGAATTTGATAGATTGTAGGAGTGGATATAGATCGGATATTCGAGTTTTTAGGATGCTCAACAAGATTTGAGAATATATATAGTGGAAATTTATCGGAAATTTAGATATCTACAGTAAACGTCATTTTATTTATAATATGTAGATTTTATTCAAATTTGGGTATTCATGACCAATCGGGTATCCGAAAATCCACGGGTCTTGAAGTTCAACACCCACCGTCTAGTTTGGTGGTTGGCACAAGAGTGTGTTGAAAAACCACACCATAACTTCACTTACCCGGTGGTTGCATACACACAACGACGCTCTCCCTTTATAAACACTTTGCTCTCACTGTCTGTACTGTATCTCACCATGCCTCCTCATCAGCTCAATGTCATAGAGACCAGCCACGTCTCTCCACCACGAGGCTCGGCCCCATCTGTCACTCTTCCGCTCACGTTCTTTGACGTACCATGGCTCACTCTCCCCCTCGTACAGTCCGTCTTCTTCTACTCTTACAATGACTCGACAGCTCAATTTTTGTCCGACACCCTTCCTATCCTCAAACACTCTCTGTCCCTCACTCTTCAGCATTTTTACCCATTTGCTGGCGCCCTGATCTGTCCACCCCGCCCTGAACCTCCTTATCTCCGCTTCATCGACGGCCAAGACTCTCTCCTTTTCACCGTTGCGGAATCAACAGAACACAATTTCGAACATCTCAAAGCTGATTACCCTAAAGATGTCAGACTCTTACATGACTTGCTGCCTAAGTTACCCCCTGCCATTGAGATCGCTCCCGAGAGAGTTCTGAAACGCCCCGTCATGGCAATTCAAGTCACTGTTTTTCCAAACACCGGAATCTGCATAGGGAAAACACAAAGTCATGTGTCCAGTGATGGAGTCTCGGCGATGCATTTCATCAAGTACTGGACGTCAATGTGCAAGAGCATGACAGTAGACAGAGATTCGCTTCACCGTCTCTCGCTTCCACCACCAAACCTCACCAGCAGAGCTGCGATCAAAGATCCTGCCGACATAATCAAAGGGCACTTAGAGCGTTTCTGGAGCATCAAATCTGAAAACGGTGACAGACATGACACTATTGATCGTCCGAGGAACATGGTCCGAGCTACGTTTTCAATGAGCCGAGCCCAGATCGAGAATCTTAAACAATGGGTTCACGAACGGTCAGCAAATCAATCGCCCGTGTCGAGCTTCGTGGTGACTGTGGCATTTACCTGGGCTTGCCTAATCAAATCGCTCATGGACGACGCAGACAAAGAACAGGGAAACGATGAGACCTTTCGATTGCTCAACAACGTGGATTGCCGAAACAGACTGAAATGCGACGAACATATACCATCCACGTACTTCGGAAACTGCATGGCGCCAGGGATTGTATCCGTGAAGAAACGTGACCTGCTCGGAGAAAACGGCGTTATGGAAGCCGCAAAAGCAATAGCGGGTCAGATAAAGGAAATGCTATCGAGCGACATTCTGAGAACGGCACCAACATGGTCGGGAGAGGTACGCAAATGGGTAATGACGCGATTTAAGATGTCGGTGGCAGGGGCTCCGCAGCTGCGGATGTACGACATGGATTTCGGAATAGGGAAGCCCTGTAAAGTGGAGATAGTGCATGTAGAGTCTGGCGATTCATTTGCACTCTTGAACTCGAGAGAAGGTCGTGATGGGATTGAGATCGAAATAGCACTAGCTAATGACAGGATGGAAGCTTTCACTAAGCAGTTCGACGAGGGAATCAAGATTTTTACCCAGAGGAACTTTGGACTTCTCAACATATAAGCCATGACAATGGTGACCTCACAGAAAAACACAAGCAATCTCTTGAATTACCCTTTAATTTACATTGCAGCCTATATCATACTATCGATGGCAACAAATTTGATTTCATTATATGAATCCATGGCAAGTCCCAGTTTACAACTATAGGCAGTCATATCAATGAAAAGGTCCATAAGATTATTCATGTCATAGAAAGTAGTTCTCTAAACGAAGATGCTGTGTGACGGTTTACTGTCGACGATGGAGAGGGCTGCGAGACGTTGCAGTGTCCGGCCTAAAGGGTCATACGACCCAAAGGGTTACAGGACAGGTTCCCAAACGCAAACAAAAAAAAGCCAATGGGAAAACAATTACTGAGCTTAAATAGTCTCTTAACACGAAAACAGAACGGGTATGAGTAGCTAAACTCATAGATTTGAACCAGGGGAAGCTATAACTCAATAAAGAGAACAACTTGAAAACAAGATTGTAGTGTTTTAGTTTAACTCCGGTCTCACAGACAAAGCAAGAGACGAAGCTGATGACAACACAGCAATGTCCGAGTTTGTCAGACTACAAGCACACGAAAACAAGTGCAAGAGTATAGTTAAACTCAATAGACATTTTAGCACAACACATTTTGCCATAAACAAGCCTCAGAAGAATCCGTTAACGTCAGAGAATTGCAGCTTCTGCCAAGTAGGTTCTCCCTGAAAAACAGGGTCTTGGCTCCACTGCACCTCAACCAAGTGGATTAGATCCTCATCGGCAACACCAGAAAACGTAGGCAAACATAAAACCAGACAATCGGGGAGATTAAAGCCCACAAATTTCTTTCAGAAAAATAGCTAAACGATTTATATAAAGATTGCCTCAGCAAAATCCAAAAACTTCATAGAACTGCAGCTTCTGCCAAGTAGGTTCTCCCTGAAGAACAGGGTCTTGGCTCCACTGCAACTCGGCAAAATGGATTGAATCCTCAACGGCATCTCTACTTCAAAAAAATTGTAAGATAAAGAAATGCTAGACATAAATTCAATTCATTAAGCGGCTCAGTATAAAATACAGCTCTTTCAATCAAGAATTCTCTGAAGCAGAACTGGCGTTAAAGCTGTCGAATTATTCATCACTGCCAAAATCAGAATCAATAACGTAACACAAAAAAAAGTCAAGATCTTTAGATCAGAGAATTGAGAAGAAATCAGAGATTTGGCTCATATCAAGAAATTCAACCATTTTTTTCCGTATATGCTTCATAGACAGATCTCAGAAGCGCGGATAAATCGTGTAATCACAGCCAAATTTGCAGAATTTCCCTGATTCAATCCAAACCCACGAACAAAAACATAGATTGTGAAAGGTGTAGCCATTGCTTTGACACAGCCAAGCCGGAAAAAAGAGAAGGCGAAACTGCAACACGAACGGCGAACGATTTAGCAGGAGCTTTGGGGCATAGTTCCTCAAATTTTGCAAATCAGATTAGCCCGGGAGGCTCCTGCGTGAATCAAAACAGAACACCCAAACACCGAAAACTTGATTCGACCAAACAACGATGGCGGCAGGAATGAGAGAGACGAAGAAGAACAAGCATAGAGCCGCTACTTATAAAAAAAAATGTCGAAACCCTAGCTGAGTGCATCAGTCCAAAGATTCTGAACAAAGAGCCGAATTTTTAAATGGGCCGTCTATTTGTCGATTCAGCCATTATATGGGCCCATGTGTGTTTTGGGCCATTTTCGTCATTTTTGTAAACGTTTTAGGAAATTGGGATTGGAAAAAACGACACCGTATCAAAAGAAACGGTTGGGCCGCTTTCAAAGCCCAATTCCCTTGGAAGAACCCAGAAATGCCCCTATAAGCCGACATACAAAAATCACCTTAAAAAAAAATAAAACGGTCTAGGTAGGTGGCTTTATATTTCTTGCATGTAAAGATACACCCTCTCTCTTTTTTTTTTTTCCTTTTTTTTTTCAAGTTTCAGGGGGAAACCTAGCTTCGGAGGTCTCGCCGGCGGGAATAAGATGCAGGGTTTGGCGGCGGCCACTGGCAGTAACTTTCTTCCCTTCCTCGCTCCGAGGTTTCTTCCTCCGACATGATTTGCTTTTCTCTTATGTTCTGTTTCTAGATCCCTCTACGATATGTGCTCCCTCTCCGATTCTGATTTAGGGTTCCTGGTTCTGGCTGAGTTCGATGATTCCAAGATGACTTGTTTGCTTTGTTTATTCGAATGAATATGAAAATTAGCGCGATATTGTGACCAATCTCCGTTTTAGGATTGTTATTTTTCTTTTTGTGGTGTAGTTTGGTGTTCGTCGTCGATCAAGAGAGACCTTGGTTGTTGAAATAACTCTGAAAACAAACTCTCCTGCGCGAGTTGGACACGAGATAAAAAAAGGGTGCAATTCAAATTTGATGCAACGATTGAAGTTGGTATTGAAATTGGGTCTCTTCGTGCTGTAAATTTATACATTTGTGATCTATACTCGCCAAACTTGTGTTTCTTCATCCGAATCTATGGAAAGATAATTTATTTGCTTAGAAATTTGCATCATGGAATGGCAAAGGGAAAAAAGTTCCTCCTGAAACGTGGCTGGGTGAGTGAATCTTTGAGCGAGAATCCCGAATTACATCATTATGTTGTGATGCAGTCTTATGATGGCATGCTACTCTGTCTTTAGGTTCTTGCCTTTCCGCCCTCTATGCTTCGAATCATGCCTCTTCCCTGTTTATCGACGCTTTTTGTTGAATTCTAGTTTCAAGGCTTTTGTCTTATTCTTGTGCTGTTGTGAACCAGGGATAAGAAACTATTTTGGAAGAAACACCCAAAATCGAGTGTGCATCTCTCCAACCTTAGTTCGCCTGCACAAGTAAGATTATCAGCAAGCTCGATTCCACAGAGTAATTTGCAAGAGATTGGCCCTCTCTCAGGTATATGAATTCTGATGATTTCATTGTGAGCCTTCAGAAAATGGATGTCAGTTCATGTGGATTAGGACCAAAACTGACCATTATGTATAACATATCATTGAAGAGAGGGTGTTTTGCATGCTGCACCATTGATATGGCGATGAAAATAATAACCTGATCTGTTAAATTTGCAGCAGCATCCAATCAGCTCTTCGCCCATGGATTACCATCCTTGAGACCTGGTTTGGCTAGGCACCGCAGACCTCTGGAGCCTGTGAGAGCGTATGCAAATGACTTCTTCAAAATCAAGTTGCCTAAAACCATGGAGAAACCTGAATGGTGGTGGAGGACCTTAGCTTGTGTCCCATATCTGATTTCTCTCCAGATTTCTGATGTCGGATACTACCTTCAGCCGTTCTTGGAAAGGCATGACGCGATTGGGGATATGATATACTTTATCCCCGGAGCAATAACAAGATGGCCGACCTGGTTCTTCATGGCATATTGCTACATAGGGTATCTGTGGGTGATCAAGAACAAGGATTTACCTCACTATTTCAGGTTCCATGTGATGATGGGGATGTTGTTGGAGACGGCTCTACAGATAGTATGGTGCACGAGCAACTTTTTCCCGCTGATCCACTTCAAAGGGCGGCTCGGGATGTACTACTGGGCGGCTATCGGGTTCACATACATATGCCTGCTTCTGGAATGCATAAGGTGTGCCCTTGCTGGAGTGTATGCTCATATACCATTCGTCAGGGACGCAGCTTTCATCCACACGCTCTTCAACATGGGAGGATTCCAAAGGCCATTGAGATGAACTGTTGGCTTCAGCATATAACTCTTGAAAGGAAGAAATAAATGACATTCAGGCGGTTTTGTCATGATTGTCCTTTTCACATATGTGTCCCTATTCCACCTAGTTTTTTCCCCAATCTCTCTCTCTCTCTCTCTCTCTCTCTCTCTCTCTCTCTCTCTTTCTCACGCACGCACGCACTTGAAACATAATCGTTGAAGTTTGTCTTAAAATTTATTTCACCAACTTTCAACAAGTCGTTGTAGTATAGTGGTGAGTATTCCCGCCTGTCACGCGGGTGACCCGGGTTCGATCCCCGGCAACGGCGATTATTTTTTTTAATTTTTTAAACTTTGTACAATATAAAATGGGCTTTTTGCGCATTTTTTTAATTATTTCAGTCCAAGGAACCCAATTTTATAATAAGCCCAGTTAGTTCATTTTAGATAAAAAAATTATTAATTATCTGATCTCTTTGCTGGGGGGGCCCAGTACGTGTGTAACACTGCGACCAACTATATATATCGTAAACGGCAGTGAGTTGGATTGTTCAAATAAAAAACAGCACACTGTCTAGTATGGCTATGGGGCAACTATTATACCC